TGACCCGCAGCCTCCCCCCCCACATGGTTCTCCCAGCCCTGGGCCCCTCAATCCTGACCCGCAGCCTCCCCCCCCACATGGTTCTCCCAGCCCTGGGCCCCTCAATCCCCCCCGCATCCCCCCATGGTTCTCCCAGCCCTGGGCCCCTCAATCCCTACCCTCAGCCTCCTGACCAGCCCAGCCCTGGGCTCTCCCCCCTCCCCCTCAACTCTGCCAGTACCCCTCAATCCTGACCTGCAGTGCTCCCCCCCCGGGTATCCCAGCCTGCAGGGTCTCTGTGCTCAGAAGGACCCTGGGGCTGCCCGGCCTGTGGTACCCGGCATCCCCACTAGGGGTCTCTGTGCTGAGAGGGACCCTTGGGCTGCCCGGGTGCCCCCCCGTCACTCACCCACGCACTCGTGGGCATCGCTGGGTGTGGCGCGCTGCCAGGGCCGGTCGCAGTAGAAGGCCCTGCAGGTCTCGCACTCGGGGCCGGCCGTGTTGTGACGGCACTGGCACCGGGGGGCACTGCCGGGCCCAGCGGCCCCGCATTGGGCAGCATGTCCATTGCACCGGCACCGGCCCCCGACCTGCAGCTCCGACACCCCATAGGAGGCTTCCCGGCCCCGCAGCCCCAGCCCCCGGTGCCTGCGATCCAAGGCCACCCGCAGGTCGGTGGCCGTCACCCAGTCCTGGAGCACGGGGCTGTACTCGAAGGCCCGGGCCAAGGGGCGGCCAGCCAGGGGCATGAAAGCCACCAGCCCCCCCACCAGCGGCGTGGGGTCCGTCTGGGCGGCGGTGCAGATGGCTTCATGTTCCGAGGCCCTGCTGACAGCGGAGGCCGGGGGCAGCCCGTAGGCCTGGGGGCAGCGGGCGGAGAAGAACTGGAAAGGCGTCCAGGAGTGGCCGTGGTCCGTGGATTTGTAGAGGGCCAGGGAGTGGGGGCGGGGGGAGCAGAAGCGAAGGGCCACGTAGAGCAGCTCGAAGCGGCCTCCCAGGGCCAGGGTCAGGCTGGCGTTGGCCACCGGCCCCGACTGCCAGCAGGTGGCCTCGCCGTCCGCGTCGGTCAGGTAGGCAGCGGGGTGGGCGGCGGCGGGGTCGGCCCCGTCGCAGAGGCGGCACCGGCGGGATGAGGCGTCGCCCGGGTGGCGGAAGGCGCACAGGCGCTGCGGGGGGCGGCCGCAGGTGGCGGAGGTCTGGACGGGGCGGCCGGCGGCCAGGTCGGCCGGCTCCGGGAGGCAGTAGCGGGGCTGCCGGGCGGCATCGTAGCAGGGGTCGGAGTCCAGGCCCAGCAAGGCCAACTGGAGCGAGAGCAGCACCCCCAGGCCCCGCCAGAGGCCAGGCATGGCCAGGTGGTCAGCGCTGGGCTGGCATCAGCTGGAAAGACAGAGACGGGAGAGGGTGAGGGGAAGGCTAGGCAGGAGACGGCCTGTAGTGGCCAGCCCCAGGCCCGCCTGCTTGTCAGAAAGCAGGTGGCTTCTCATTCCTTCCCCTCTCTAGGGATATCTGTGGTGGGTCACAGAAACTGCCGTCGCTTGGCAGGACTCTGCCCCAGCCATATCCAGTGGCGGTGAGTTCCACAGGCTAACCGCTCAGTGGGCTGGATCTCCTTTGCTGTCGGGCCCCACATGTTCTGCGCTGAAGTGGGAGGGGCCCAAGGGACCCTCTTGCTCCAACCAACACCTTCCCCACCCTGGGCAGAACGCTGCTTCTGGGATGCCAAAGCCAGCGCTTGTGCTCAATGACCTAGTGGAGTAGCTCCATTTGCCAGCTCCAGTCGGCTGTAGTAGGCTGTTACCCTCGAGCTAAACCAGACACAGAAGGGCTACAGAACATACATAGTCAGTGTGTTACATACACCACCATGCCGCCTCCCAAACCCAGGAGTCCTGGCTCCCAGCCCCCGCACCCCGCTATAACCATTAGACCCACTGCCCTCCCAGAGCCGGGCAGAGAATCCAGGACTCTGGGCTCCCATCGCTAACCACTAGCCCCCCACTCCTCTCCCAGAGCCGGGCTTGGACTGGTGCGCGGAGAATTCTCTTTCTAGTTTCCTGACTGGGGTGTCACACGCAGGGTCTAAATGATCAACAGATTTGGGGTGAGCAGGGCAGGACTGAATTTCTCCCCCAGCTCAGCTTGGCCGGGAATTCAGTGGGTCTGGGGGAAAGGTTCCTTCCTACGGGGCGGAGCTTACACAGCTGGGCTCGTTGCAACGGCGGCGTTTGAGCCCACCCCAACGAGGGTTTGTCCAACCTGTTCCGGCCCCTGCAAGTCCCCTCTTAACACCCACCCTAGATCTCCCTCGCCGGGAACGGACCCCAGCCCGTCTCTGTGCCACGAGGAGCCCAGCTGATCCCTGACCTCTTTCCACCCTCCTTGAGCTGGGCTCCAGCCGGGCTAATCCTGCCTACCCCTCTCTGCTGTTCCTCCCCCACCCAGTCCTTTCGCCCGCCCGGGGATGCCGGAATTTGGGGCTGTCTCACCTGAACCAGCCTCTGCCGCTCTGGGACACACCCGTTTTCAGCCCCCGGCCCAGGAGGTTGCTTGGATCACACGCCAATCTCCAGGCGTCCCAGAGGGGTAAGGGACCGGGTGGAGCTGACCGGCCGCTGGTCCCCCTAGGAGCTAGGCATCTCATGCCCCGGTCCTGGCTGTGGCCAGCCTGGAAAAGGTTAACAGCCCCCCACCCCGGCAGCCCCAGCTCGGCGCTAATCCGGGTGCGTGACTGCTGTGAGAAGAGGCCCTTTAAATCCAGACTCTCACGGTTATTAAAGGCTCATCGGCTTGTTTCTGTCCTGATTCTCGCTCCCCCTCCAACCCACCCAAGCCCCCTTCTCCCTTCCCTGGCAGGGCCGATGGGGAAGGGGTGCATCTGAGAGAGGTGGATTAAGGAGGCCTGGAGGGGTAAAGGACACTCACCCACCCACTGCACGGAGAGCCCCAAATGATCTCCAGTGGGAATGGCTGGCTCAGGGGACCCGGGATGGGACATGGGGCCTTTCCCCTCTGCGATCTGGCCCCAGGGCAGGGGACCAGCTGGCTCAGGGGTGGGGGAATGGGGCAGGGGCCTTTCACTCCACACAGAGAACTGGTTCTGATGCAGCCACAAATTCGCAGAGATGAAATAGTTAGGACTCCTGGGTTCTGTTTCCCGCTTGGATTCTCTGTGTGCCTGTGTAGAGCTCTGACTGGGCCCCGATCTCGGCGACTCTGTGTCCGGGCAGCGCCCGGCCCGACGGGGCCCCGATCTCGGTGACTCCGTGTCCGGGCAGCGCCCGGCCCGACGGGGCCCCGATCTCGGTGACTCCGTGTCCGGGCAGCGCCCGGGCCGCCGGGTGCCTGATTGTGACCAGAAGGAAATTCTCTTGTTCTGCCTTAGCCCGGCCAGACACCTGTCTCTGCCTCCCCGTGTCTCTCGGACACTGATCGATGACTCAGGGGTGCTAAGTCTGGGATTAGGTCGTCGCGAATTCTTGATTTTCGCTGCGTTCCTGCGCTCCCTGTTAAGTAAACACCTTCGCCCCCATCTGGGCCCCCTGCCCCCCAACTCAGCCCCCGCCCCTCCAGGGTAGGAAAATATACAAACTGCGGGGAACCGCTCCCTGCTGAGAGTGTTCTTCTCCGAGCTGCAAGCTTCCCCGCAACAGTGCCCCAGCCAGGGGCTGCAGTGCTGTGAGCTTCCCCGCAGCAGTGCCCTGCACATCCTCCTGTCCCATCCGCTCTCGCTCTCAAGCTCTCACTGCTGCCAGCATCCTCCAGCGCTGGGCCCAGCTCCCCCCCGCCTCCCAACACTGCCACAGCCCCTTTCATGTCCGACAGGCTCTTCTGTTTGATTCATGGCAGCTGGGATTTTACACTGGGGCCCATCCCGCTATTTATCACCCCGGTGGAGTGTGGGAAAAGCCTCCCGGCCACACCTTCCCCCAGGTCTGGAGAGGGAGGTGTTGGTTCGCACCCAAGACTCCTAGGTTCTAGCCACAGCACTGGGAGGGCAGCGGGGGCTAGTGGTTAGAGCAGGGGGGTGGCTGGGAGTCAGGACACCTGGGGTCTATCCCCTTGCACTGGGAGGGCAGTGGGAGCTAGTGGTTAGAGCAGGGAGTGGCTGGGAGTCAGGACACCTGGGGTCTATCCCCTTGCACTGGGAGGGCAGTGGGAGCTAGTGAGAAGTCCCCCAGGTGGGGCAGATGTGCTGGGAGCCGCGGTCTGTGCCCAGCTCTGATTTCCCCGATTGCTAATTGCTGAGGCCAGCTCTAATTGTTAACATTCCTGCAGGGCTGGGAGGTTTCTGTCTTCCCGCTCCCGGGGCCCATCCCCTCCCGAGCGCCAGCCCCCAGCCTCTCCAGGTTGGGAGTTACTGAGCCTGGATCCGAGGCCTCAGCCAGACCAGGTCCGGGAGCGCCTGGGCTGCCAGGGAGTGGACACTATCATTGGGTAGGACCTACAATAATAATGGGACATGGCGCGGGAGCATGGAAGGGCAGAGGCGGCTGGATGGGACCCTTTCTAAACACCCTATCTCCCCTGGCCTGCCAAAACTCGCTCCCAGCCTCACCCTGAACCTTCCCCCTAAACTCACCCTCATGTCCCTGAGCCTTCCCCACAAAATCCCAGTGACCACCTGAACTCAAACATCACCTAATCCTTTCTCAGTTTGGGACATACTGGCCTCACACTGATCATTATTATTATGCGCTGCCCAGACCCAGAGTCGCCGAGATCGGGGCCCCGTCGGGCCGGGCGTTGCCCAGACCCAGAGTCGCCGAGATCGGGGCCCCGTCGGGCCGGGCGCTGCCCAGACCCAGAGTCGCCGAGATCGGGGCCCGTCGGGCCGGGCGCTGCCCAGACCCAGAGTCGCCGAGATCGGGGCCCCGACGCTGCCCAGACACGTTCACTAGAGCGGACCTAGGCATCAGATGGGCGGTGACAGGTGCCAACAGAGGCACCCAGCAGGGGAGGGATGAGCTAAGCGAAGGGTTTAACAGGTCTCTCAGCTCCCTCTTTGCTGGACCGTTCCTGGAACTTTTGCCGTTTTTTGCCTGTATTTTATTTCAGGTTCAGAGGAAAGAAAGAAAGGAAGATTGGATGAAGGAAAGTGTGAGTGAAAGAGTAAACGCAAGAATGAAGGACAGAAATAAAGGACAGAACCAATGGAGGAAGGAAAGAGACTGCACCTGAACGCGTGACAGACGACTGAAGAAAAGGATGAAGGAAAAAGAGGGAAGGGAACATAGGAAAGAATGAGCAGAGGAAGGGAAGAAACAAAGAAAAGAAGGAAGGAAGGAATTAAATGGAGGATGAACAAATGGGAACTGACGGGAGAAGGAGGAATGAAGGAGACACAAGGAAGGATGGATGGATGAGGAAAGAGCCGAGGAAAGACGGACGAAAGACAATGCCAAAAGAACCAAAGAGGGAAGAATAAAGCGGCGGAAGGAGGGAAAGAGGAGGAGGCCCCCAGTCGGGAGCAGTTTCTACTGGGCCGGGGGAGATTGGGGTGGGGGGAAGCTGTAGGCATTGGGTTTGGGGGGAGGCTGTTGGGGGGGGGGGCGGATCTGGGGCCCAGCGTGAGTCCTGGTTGGGGAGTCGCTGAATTCAACAAGTGATTCAGGATGGAAAGTTGTTCCTTAGTCCTGGGGGCTAAAGGGCTGTGGTTAATAATCGCTATCTACTCGTTAATGATTATTAATAATGAATTGATGATTAGCATAAATTGTTAATGGCTAAAAGCATAAGTGATATTACTAGCCAACACATATGTATTAATAATTATGCATCAGCGTTGATAACACATGGCCATCCATAATCAGATTATTAGGAATGATTAATATTACTAACATGGCTAATTAATGCTTAATTATGTATAATTGGCAATTAATATTTAATGACACGTACTAATTGCTAACAAATAAAAAAAGTAATAATTGCCAATAACTAGCAATCACTAAGATTTACTAACACTTAATTAGCAATAGACAAGTGCCAAATATGTAATTAGTGGCAATTAATACTTTCTAATAAATAATTACAACTAACCGCTAACAAATGATTAAGCAATCAGTAATAATGACTGGTAATAATTCATAATTGCTAATGAATGTGACAATACATGCTATCAAATAATTAGCAATCATGAATTATTACTTACAATTAACTAGCAATAGACAATTGCTAATAGTTAATGACAATACTTACTAATAAATAATGACATGTGGGCGATTATTATTCCGTTAGCCCTGATCTTTACTCAAAACGAACTTTTGAATGCTATTCATCTTAGCAATCCTCTGTGCAGAGAAGCAACTATTGATCGCTAGGAAAATCTCTTGCTCTTCATTACTTACAAATCTTTAAACGCTGTTCACGGGGAGCCTAATAACCCCTTAATAACAGTGTTACCGACTGCAACGTGGGGGAGAGAGACACGGGGGTAAGTAGGTGACACTGAATCATCTGGGTTATACAGATGGCTGGCGGATCTGAAGCAGTGGCTCTCAACCAGGGATACATGTATCCCTGGGCAGGGCCGCCCAGAGGGGGGGGCAAGTGGGGCAATTTGCCCCAGGCCCCGGGCCCTGC